CAGCGCCACAGTTTGTCTATAAAAATCAATTTGTTATCAGTATTGTCAAGAAAAAACTATACCTGGCCTATCAAAACATCAGCTAGTACTCCTCAAATTTCTGAAAACATCAAAGCTGGACGTATAGTTGGAAACTGCAGTACATTTGTTTGTAACCTTAAGCCTCACTAAATCTTCTTTACGTCATCACATGATCTGTTAGATCATCGAACAAAAGTAATTTGCAAACGTTATCATTTTACAAGTTTGCCCACTAAAATGAGTCAGGTGGATTGGGGGTATGTGCCCCGGGAAGGGGGGGGGGGTACTCTCTACGATGACCTATACGGGGAGGGTCCGCCCGAAAGCGGTACCTTTTTCAGGCTTCAGGTATATGAAAGGGTACGTAAGGGAAATCTGTCATTCGGGTCTGTGAAATGGCCCAAAGGGCCGAACAAATGAATTTTATGGCTTTAAAAAGTCGGGAAAACGTTCCAGTTTTGTGGTTGACTCCTATTTAAATGCCAATTAATCTACAGCAGTTGAAAGGGATGCAAAGTTCTAAAAGAGGTATGTAAAAGGGGTACCATTTGTCAACAGAAAGTATACGAAAGGGGTACCTTTTACGTGCAAAATGGTACAGTGATATAAAAGGGTAAGGGGTTGGACCTCGGGGCGGAGCCTCCCCGTGAGAAAATTTGTTGAGTACCTACCGGGGGTATGTGACCATTCAAAGATCTAAACAGTAACTGTAAAACAACCTTTATCAGTCAATTATGCTGCAGTAGACCGAAAACTAATTGGTAACAATTCTAAAATGGTAAAATCTGTTTCTTACTTCAAATTTAATTTTATCAATCAACTTAATCTTAGCGCGATAACTTTTAGTGCAAACTTTCTCCCAAATGAAGGTATTCATGCCCCTTCACGTTTGGTCAAATGAGGACATGCCCTACACATGACTCAACGGTACTATGATCCTAGAAGAAGTTTGATGTTTCCATGTGTTGAATGATGGGCTATTGAGTTCGGTGTTGTGTCGCCAATTCGTCACATTAGAAACGAGAGGGAAACTGGGACTAGTTAACTTTTGCAAAGACTTCTGGGACTGTTACTAAGGTCAAGGGAAAAAATCGACTGATGCTGACCTCCCGGGAGGGACACCGCATATGAAAGGGGTGGGGATGCTCGTCGGAAATTTTGAATCAAACCCCTAAAAGAGACCGATCTGGGGGTAGCCCGCGCTTTTTTTGACCCCTAAATTTAAAAGAGACCATGTTAAAACACCGACAATACACATATTTTTACATTTTTTCACGTGCAACCCTAAACGAGACCTTCACGGCTAAATATGATGGCGTTTTGCCCAGAACACCCTAAGTGAGACCAAAATCCGATATTTACACCCCTCAGCGAGACGACGAGCATCCCCACCCCTTTCATATTCGGAGTTCCCCCCACCACCCCGGGGCTGACCGGCGCGTCCCTAGTAAAGATCCCAGAAACAATTATGGGTTTTCCAGACCCCTTCTCCTTTCTGAAGTGAGGAATTGTACATTTTAAGCAACAACAACAAAAACAACTGAATCGAAGTGATATCGTTTCGAACGACAACTGAAATCCGACCTTGCGAGTTATCCACTTCATTATTTTACGAACAATTCTCTATTTCATTTGGTCACAGAGATGCAACTGAAACTTTAAATTTTAACCGTCAGGCCCCATATTTGACAGTCATTCCTCGAGCCCCAAAGGCTGCAAAGGGCTCTGAGTCAACAGCCCATGAGGCCGAAAGCCGAATGGGCTATTGACTCAGAGGCCATATAAGGGCGAGAGGAATAATTGTTTTAGTAAAATCCAACTATTGAGACAAATCAACTTTGGCTAGCAAAACGCGAATCCCCCGCAGCCGCCATTGTTTTGGTTTTCAAAGCCAATGCATTTAAAGAAAAAAACATAGAATCATTTTGATCAATAACAATCTAGACATTGACTTCAATTACATTTACTTAATTAAACTTGCCGTTTGAACTAACAGTATTTACATTAGATAGCGTTCACACGTGCATCGGGTATTAAGGAAAATTATAAGTATTTATAACTTAAGTACTCTTTCATTCGTTCGGTCATTCATTCGTTCATTTACTCATTCATTCATTCATTTATTCAGTTATACATGGACTTTCTTCTTCCTAACCTACGTTCGTTCGTTCATGAATAAGGATGTACAACGACCCATACATTTAGCCGCGAACGGCAAACGACAGTAGCAAAAAAGGAAGTGAAAGTTGAAACCCAAACACTAGAATGGCTTTGACTCTTTCGTTCAATAGGCTTCACCTCCAGAAGGTCAACGAACGCTGAAAGTATAACTGTTCTTTAATCGTCTACATGTAGACAGACACGGCTGGACGTGATCCAGTGGAAGTTAAATTTTGGCAAGGGGATTTTGTTACAACTTCCGCTGATATAAACAGCTCTTTCTTTCGCGGGTGGGAAGGGGAGGGGGGCAACCGGAGCATTCTCATACAAAAACGACCCGGGTGCTCGTTGTCTCGCTTAAAGGGTAGGAATGTTGCAGATGGTCTCGCAGTAGGGTGTTCATGACGGAAGCCAATATTTTCATCCATAAAGCAGTGCCGTAGCATGGGGAGGGGCCGGGGGGGCCTGCCCCCCACCCTAATAATTTTGACAGGCACGTTCAGCGGCCACGTTCTTCTCGCTGCTCTTCGGTTCAATGTGTTCATTTTGGTTCGATAAAGCGTGAAAATTATTTATTTATGGCTCCAATGATTTAAGTCACTTAAAAATTGCTGGAAATTAATGCTCTCGGGAGGCTGAAAATGCTATTTCAGAGACCCTATACTTCAAAAACTTTTGGACCCCTCTAGCAGCTCACGCCTTCGGCGCTCGTGATTGCCCCTCCCCACCCCCCCAACCAGTCTAACTTTGCTACAGCACTGCATAAAGAAATGAAGAAATCACTAGATTCAAAACAACAACAACTACCGTGATGCCGGCATACTGTGTTATTGGAGAATTATGGTCCGAGTCCTTTTTAACCTTTGGTTACTCGGTGTCGGCCCTCGACAGAAGAGTCCCACCGCACACGAGAAAAAACCTCTTTGAAATTACAAATTGACCAAAATCACAAATTCAAACCAATAATAAAGAATTTGCACTAAACCAAGCCCCAATCGAAATATTCCGATGAGTACCGTCCCACGTCCGCCCCCCCCCCACCCCCCCCCCCCCCCCCCAGCGGGCGGTTCCACAATAGGTGTGTTCCAACCAACAAAAAACAACAATAACCA